AACGGATCTGCATCCATCATGCACCTTCGACTGAGTTTGTGAGGGTGTGTCTATCTGGAATGGAGCACCTACAAGTGTGTGTTTGTTAACGCAACCAACCCTCCTTCCTGAAGCACTACTTGTCACTCCCTTCCATTACGCGTTAGACAACTGACCGGCTCAACAAGCCACAATTTTCTCAATGTGCACCCCCTGCATGCATGCCCATCCAGCTCAACTAACCACAATTTTCTCCACGTCAAACCCCAGCAAGCCTACTTATCCGGAACGCGTGACCATTTCGCTTATCTAAATCTATCGAAAAAAACTGGAATATTATACAGCAAACTAGGATACTCGTCCTCTGGTATATACTACTTCACGATAGTTACTACTGCAATAAAAAAATGCTCCATTTTCTACCGTCAAGTCCACAACTATACGACGAATACTACCTACTACTCCTACATATTTTCATCCATTCTGTTAGCCAATAAACTCTGCTATCGACTATACTTTTTTATTAAGAAATCAAACATATACTTCTTTCTCATTACGGCATAATGTACATACTGATAAAAAGATTGCCGTACCATCAACAAAAACATCCAACTATGTTTAGAAATCACACACTTTATACACATACAAACTCGATGGAAGAACTTTATTATCTTCGATGTTTCAGGAAAATACAAATTTCCCTACAGATGTGAAAAACATTCTAAGATGGCGTACCATCAATTTGACACTAACCGAAATAAAACTACCAATTCAACTAAACTACATAAATCCATGTTCACATCTACTTCGTCTTCTATCGACCACAAGTAATCCGGTTGTGCCCCAGAGCGCCGCAAGCCATGCACCGCCTCACTCCATTGCGATCGCGATGTGGTCGTTCTTCCATCCGTCGCCGTATGGCAGCAATTAGTCTCTCATGCCTCTCGGTGATGGAGATCAACCCGTCGATCCTGTTAATTACTTCCATCATACGGTTGTACTGGCTGCAAAAATAAGGGAGCAAATGCTAATCAAAATCGACAACCAACTAGTAGTACATCTCAGAATAATAGAACACATACTCTAGAGAAATAGTGATGCGTTGATTCTCTTGGCCGGCTGGCTCCTCAGATCTATCACCACTGTCCATGCCTTGAAAGAAGAATAAACTACTCAGATGTCCCTTCTGCCGTCTCACACGAAACCCGAGTGCCCCCTTTATAGCCGGCTTCACCCGTCATTACTTCAAAAGCTGGACGTACCTTCCAGCCTACAAATCAGGGATTGCATTATCACCAAAAAAAATTATTTTTTAAAACTACCTACGGCTGCTAGCGGGTTAGAGGATCCTGCCCACGTTCGCTACCCCCAGCGAACCCGGTTTCCTAGCTGCTACGAAGGTGGACACGTGGAGGACAAATAAAGTGGTGGTAACTACCATCACTTGTAGATAAAATTTATATATAAGGAAAATCACTTCTACCACCTAGTGGTAACTACCTCCTAAGAATCCACCGTCCATCTTCCCTAATTAGATCCGAGCGTGGTTGCTTTTTTTCTCTCAGATCGCTACAGAATCTTAACGGGTTAGGCTAGCTTCCACCCGACCCATTTGATTATTAATTATTTTCATTAGTTTAATTGATGGTTATCCAAGGCGTGCTGATCGCCCGAGCTTATCCCAGAAAATTTGAATGCATCTATATCTCTTCGTACGTACTTATCCGGATACTAACCAACTTAGCAATCTTTTCTACGTAAAAATAGCTGTGTTAGTATATTCTTGTTACGAACTAAAACAGTTCTTTTTGCTGGACCTCCCGTTCTGCCTGGGCGACACCTCCGTCAACGGCTGTAGACGGCGGATCGGCGCTGTCGCCGTGGGTCACGCTGGCAGGACAACACATCTGGTGCAGTGAAACACGGCTGGCCGACGTAATTCTTCAGTACCACAAACGTGAGGTAACTAAGTATAATCAAATATATTTTTCTTTATTGTTCGTTAGTATGATTAGCGAGATCATAGGTTGATCAACTTCCATCTCAAAAAGAATTCATGTGGCCGAAACCGTAGAACTCACAACATCATACTAACATGCAACTGTTTCTTGGTCATAGATATGGGCAAGCCGAGCGGCAGCGGCAGCAAATCCAATTCTGATTTCAGGCGAGCTATCTCTGCAGTGCGCACTAAAAACCGAGATCAAATATCCGGCCAAAAACGTTTAGGTGGATCTCGCTCAAAGAAAAGGAGTTCCATAAAGAGGAAAGCATGGAAAGACAAACTGTACTCCAGGTGTGCTCCTTCTATCATTGTAGATCTCATGGAAGACCTTGACGAGCAGCCCAGAAAGTTTGTAGAAGAGATGGGGTTTCAGGGATTACATAGCCTAAAGCTGCACAAGCTAAATAAACCATTAGGAGCCTGGCTGCTTAGTAAATTCGTTACAAATTTGTTAGTTTTTTTTGCTAGGACAAGCAGAGAGCTAAAGATGACACCCGAGGACGTAAATCGTGTGAGCGGAATCCCATGTTCTGGCATGATCATAGTACCTCCAAGCCCACAAGATGTCATTTCTATGAAAGCATACTTTTGTGGTGTTTTCGAAAAATCCTCATGGGATGAAATCACTATCAGCTTCCTTTTGAAAATAGTAACAACAAAACCAAAAGGCGAAATGACAAGTGAAGAAATCCTGCGATTCAAGACCGCGTTTGCATTTTCTGTTGTTACCAAATTCTTCGCTCCACAATCCCTGAACAACTTCATATCAACACGATATATGAAAGCAGTGTTTGATATGGAGAACATTCATGCCTACAATTGGGCACAATTTGTCGCCGACGAGCTCAGACTAGCAGCAGCATCTCTGCAGTTGAAGCTTTCCCGTGGAAAGAACATTGGATACATCAATGGATGCATGTTAATCCCTCAGGTTCACTTAATACAAACTAATATATCTTCATGTATGCTTGGTTTACGTATTTAACTTACAAAGGTTACTTTAATTTTTCAGATTCACTACCTAGATAGCTTGGACTTTGGCAAGGATTCTCCTCCCGACCACATTCTTCCCCGGTTTGCTGCATACAACGACGACATGGTCTGTAACCTGATCAAACGGGATATAATTCTGAAAAATTGACTTCCTTTTCCGACATATGGTAAACTAAAGGTACATCGTACTACATACTCCATACTACAACCTAGCATATCATATACTACAGAACTATTCCACTACTAGTTCTTTATTGGATGATATATTATCTTTCAAGGATACTACGTACAAGTTCAGAGAAATACTACCTACTTTTTTTTGATATATACTACATACTAGTTCAGCGAGATACTACATACTCGATACTACAACCTAGCAAAGCAAACACTATAAACCTATTACACAATGCTTTCTCCTTACATTATACTACGTACTAGTTGTATTTACGTACAATTTATGAGAGTTACTACCTACTTTCTTCCAAGAGGCACTACATACTAGTTTCGAGATATACTACATACTATTTTCGGTAGATACCACATACTATTTTCAAAAAAGTCAACATACTCTTCTCATAACAGAAATACATACTACTTCGAAGACATACAACGTACTACTTCCGAGAATTACTACATTCTACTTAGTCCTTACTACTTAATACAAACTACTCCCCCTAGATACTACATACTATTTTTGAGAGGTACTACACTCTCCTTCCATGATAATTGCCCCTCCTAGATGATTGTCGTTTTTCTACACAGATACGCAGTCCTCATAGCATACGCTACGAGTCAGGACCATGTGTGCACGCACCCCCTTGTACTCCTGTTTCTGGTAGAGTGTTCAACTCCCTCGTTAACTTGGAGACACCAAAATTTGACATGGGATTGAGTCAACTTGAGCCCGGCGACAACACCACAGTGTGTAACCAAGTCACCCGAGTCACTGCAAACTTATCGGCACAGTTTGACATGGCAGCTGAGACAACCGTAGTGCCAGATACACCAGATCAACCTCAACAAGCTCCACAATCAGGTAAAACCAGGAAGTAATTCACTTGCATTCAACAAATGTATGAAACAGTAACGCCCATTGTGTCATCATTTTTCAGATTTTCCTGACCCTACTCCTACTTCCATATCGCCTCATTCTTTACTGCAAGAGACGAGCGCAATAAGGATTTCTATCCATGAGGAATGCGGTCTCCCGAAAGTACAACCCAAAACAAGGAGGAGAATCATTGGGGTACCATCTGATATGCTTCTAGACGTACCAAAACGAGTAATAAAACCAAGCAGAATGGTGAAGTCCCCATTTCTTTGCAAACAGTACCAATGTGTCAGGCTTGATGTCCAGGCACAAGAAGATTTATTCACATATACAAACTCAATTTCTGCTGCCGACCAACTGAGGTTAGTATTATTTGTTTTACTGTTTATACATGTCCGAAGTATTATAACTCACTGTGACTACTGCTATTCTTTTTCCACAGAAAAATTTGGCTACACATATCTGATCCAGTCCCAAGGTTTCTAAAATTGCAACAGATACAAGAAGCCCTCGCATTTGACGCTGAAATGCAAGATGATGCATTCAATGTTGCTGTCCAAGCACTATTCGAGGATGAGGTGCACAGGTTCGGGGGAACAGATTTCCTAGGCTGGAGGCACTTCTTGAATCAAGATTTCGCGGTACGTCACATTTAGAAGTTCAACTATACAATAGCACACACTCATCACTAATCACGATAAATGCAAACAGATGCACGCAACCGCTGGTGGCGCAGACTGGAACCCCGAGGATCATGTCTACTTATTCAACGACATTCACATACCATACGACGTCTCAAAAAGGCGTCTGGTAGATTCACCACCCATGCCTCACTAACAACCTAGATACTCCAAACTAAATTCTAACATATTGTTTTCAAATTTGTAGATATATATCCCTCTCCACCAACCGTTTCATTTCTCAGTCTACGCATTTGATATGGAGAACGAGAAGAACGAGAAGATTCAGATCATGGACCCCTTAAGAGATACAAGCAAAGGAGGGCAGGACATTGAAGCTAGGCACTCTAAGACTAAAGATCATATTGCGAAAGCATTGCAGGATTGCATGGTCATCTCTTTTCCAGACTGGAAACGCAATATTTCTAGCTGGCAGCATGAGTTCCCAACAAATATTCCAGCAACTGCTAACAGGTTATGCATGTTTTTAGTACACACATGTACGAGCACCACTTTAAATATGCATTCCTAATCATGGTTAATTTTACAGGATTGATACTGCTTTCCACGTTCTGCATATCATGAGAAATTGGGATGCAAAATGCTTAGTCAATCCAGTCTCTAGTGTGAGTATCCTTACTAAAATACAATGATACGTAATTTGCTTACGTCATAAATTAACACATTATTCTACAAATTTGACAACATTTCACATGCAGGACTCTCGAGATTTGCGGAAGGTCTTCCTTGCCAACCTCCTGTCATTCACAAGTAATGAGGCCATACTCCCAGAAAGTGTCAACTACTACATCAAAGCACTCAGGAGGAACTGATACCACATCCTGCAACGACGAATAATAAATAGGCCGACTGAATAGACAAATTTTCAATTTCAATATGTAGTGAATTACGTACTACCTTTTTTGTTTTTGAGAAAACATACTACATTTGATGGAATATTCTACCTTTTCTATATATGGGGCTTATCTCAATTGTCACCCGCTACATCAAAGCACTCGGGAGGAATTTATACCACATCCCTCAGCTACGAGTAATAAGTAGACCGACTCAGTAGACAATTTGTTTTAATTTCAATATTTACTGAAGAACATACTACCTTTCCCTTACATGGGGCTTATTTCAATTTTTTTTAATTCACTACAAACCATAGGGCAGAGTACAAGTCGGTCTCCCTGCTTGCTTCTTCAGTACTTCTCCCCATGAGTCTTGCTCATCTTCTCTATATGGCATCACTGAGAGCTGGCACCAAAAACTAGCCGCCTTGTTACGTATTACACGGACATACTACATACTACATGTCAGCATACTCAATACTACGTACTATGATACTCCAGCAACTCCAAATACTCACCTCCGAACCAAACACCAGTCCTATATATGCCCAAACCAACTACCTCCTAGTAGTATGTACACGTACTACACGCTCTAGATAAACAAATTAATAAGTGTCATTCACGGCAAACTTAGCCCTGTATAAAACCAACCAGACCACAAAATACTTAATAACAGGCAGAAATAGACTTATTTTTAACAAGTAGCAAAAAAGAGTTTACAACTTTTAAATAAAGGAGTACGTAAACAAAAAGCAGTACATATCCTTCTGAAGACAAGATTCGCCGACGACAGATACCAAAACAAATCCTAGTTACATGCAAAGGTACTGCAAGCCACATAACCAAACTGACCACACTCAGTACTTTCTCTTATAACTTGAATTGCGACCACACGTACTCTTATTGTGTCCTTGCTGACCACAGCTACCGCAGTACCTGACCTGCATTGGCCTAGTAACCCTAGAGCTACTTCCATCTTCAAATTGGATCCTTACTGATGAGCATGCTCCTTTCTTACCCTGTCTTGAAGCAATTTCTCCCTTGGACATATACCTTCGCATCCTAGGTCTTCCTCTTCCCCTTCTAAATTCAGGAGGAAGTATATCACATTCACGAACACCATCTTCCATCTCCTCATCTTGTACTTCCTCACCTCCCCAATCATCGTCACCGCCTTCTGTAGCCTCACACTCATCTATGCAATTGTCATTGCACAGTTGGGCATCATGATCGCCAAACACATTACCAATAGGTTTCTTCCCTTGTAATCTTTCACTTTGTCGAGTTTCCTTCGTGCTTGATTCTGCCGTGGCTGTCATTAATTTCAAATCTTTCAGGTGATTGCACATCACTTCCATTGTCTTCTGATATGTCTCAGTGTTTGTGTCCCCAATCCGAACCATATCAAGCGCGGTCTGATACATCAGATCGTGTCGATACGTCCTCGATGCAGCAGCTTCATTATCATTGACGTACCCTTTGAGATGTTCTGGAATGGATTCTCTAGCTTTCTTTGTCCACCTCTTCTTAACATACTTTTCTGGTATCTCCCTGACTCCAAATTGCACCATCACCTACACACAAATTAATGTTACCAACCACAGACATATGAGGAAAAATATTTGCAGAAGAATTTAGGATGCCGATACTTTTATTACTTACCCTCAATATGTGCCGGCAGAGTATCCCCAAGTGCTCAAACAGTTTGCACACACACGAAAATTCTTGCTCACCAACGATGGCCTCAACATCATACTCTCTTCTGCCCCAGCTATCCTAATCATCACCCATATGGATCACCAAAAAATGGTTCTCCTGCGACGATGGTCTTATATCATAAGACACACTCCAAACAAACTGTTCCTTGAACCTTTTGAAAGCACCTCTTGTGTACACACGCGCAGCATGTTTTTCCAAAGGCGACTTCGTAGCTGTAACCACCTTATCCTGCATCGCCATCAATATAAAATCAGTAATAACACATGGGTGATCTATATTATAGCTACAATCAAGGCAATTACACTGTCATTATGCGTAAACAAAATACTTTCATCAGATGTGTGGAACTCTTCGGCGTCTTCCTCCTGTATTCTGCCATAAAAGAAACTTTCATACTTCCTGACAAGGACATTCATCGGAGAAGATGGCTTCACATACTTCTTAAGAACATGGTTCATACTCTCACTTCTCTGAGTGGTCGACATTTTAGCAAAAAAATGTGATTTGAAGTAAACAGGAGCCCATTGTGTCCTCATATCCCACATCCGTTTCATGTATGTGCTAGACTCCAGTTCATACCTTTTCACTAAATCAATCCAAGCTCTCTCGAACTCATCTATTGTTTGCGGGTCATTCATAACTCTATGAAACTCATTCTTGAAAGTGCTCCTCTTGCTATATATGTTCCCAAAGTTCTCTTTAGCATTCTTCAGTACATGCCACTTGCAAACTCTATGAACCGTACCAGGCCACACCTCCGCGATTGCCACTTCCATCTGATAACAGTTATCTACACAAAAATGTATGAACATGTCAAAAAAAGATATACTATATACTACAAGATTTTTACTAACCATTGCAAATACCTGTCAGAATTGCCGACGGCCTTTTTCCATGCATTGCACAACTGAAAGACTGAAATAACCATTTGAACGCATCGACGGTTTCCTCCCTCATCATACAACATCCAAATACTACGGTTTGGAAGTGATTACTCACCCCAACAAAAATATCAAGCGGCATCTTATACATATTAGTCTGATAGGTAGTATCAAATGTCACAACATCGCCAAAGTGCTCGAAACTAAGCCTCGACAGTGCATGTGACCAAAAGACATTTTTTATCCTACCGGCCCCATCCACCTGCATGGTGTAGTAGAAGTTATCACTTCGCGCCTGTAGCTCTTTGAAGTAATCAATTGTTTTGTGAACATCATCACTACACTCATCTCTTCTTATAGCATAGGCTAATCTGTTCATTGCCCTTCGACTAAAAGGTGCCATACCAGGGCCTCCGTGCATTCCTGAAACCAATCCATACATGCCTGTCGGAGCCATACCATTATCTACCATACCTTGAACAATAGTCTTTGTGCCTTCATCTATAAAGTTGTGCGACCTATACTGCTTAGTAAGACTTACTTTATTTTTAAGAGGGTGGTTATGAACACTGATAAACTTTGTCACCATCCAATCATGCCTCGCTGACGAACGCTTAATTCTAAGCATAGCTCTACATCCTATCCTAGTTGCCGCATTTTGCACCTTTTTGTCAATGCCCTGTTCAACATGGTAGATGCAAATCAATAACTAGTACATACGATACATTGGAAACAACTACAATTTACAAACACATACCTGACGCACACAACAGAACTCTTGCATGGTTTTCACCCCTCCCTTCCTCTCCCTACGATTGGAGCGCCTGATCCCGAAACCATAGAATCTAGCATAAAGATTATAAAACGCATATCCGTCTACATCTTCTTTGAAGAGCAGGCCCAGTTTCGGCACTATTACTGATGGTTGATAAAAAGACGCAGGAATGGGAGCCTCGACAACTTCATTATCAACCACCACCCTAAAAACACATAACTCCATTACTACTTCATACAGTACGCATGCGTACAACAAAGAAATCGTACACAGTACATCGATCTACATTACCTCTCAATTGGAATTTCCTCGATGCCATCTTCTCCGGCCTTGTTCTGGTCATCCTCGACGCTAGGTACGACCGCGATCTGAGGATCTGCGTCCACGCAACCGGCAGCAACGACGCCTCCGCCATTATCAAACTCCATGATCTGTTGTTGCTCTACTCCCGCTCCACGTGCTACCTCCCTCAACGGATCTGCATCCATCATGCACCTTCGACTGAGTTTGTGAGGGTGTGTCTATCTGGAACGGAGCACCTACAAGTGTGTGTTTGTTAACGCAACCAACCCTCCTTCCTGAAGCACTACTTGTCACTCCCTTCCATTACGCGTTAGACAACTGACCGGCTCAACAAGCCACAATTTTCTCAATGTGCACCCCCTGCATGCATGCCCATCCAGCTCAACTAACCACAATTTTCTCCACGTCAAACCCCAGCAAGCCTACTTATCCGGAACGCGTGACCATTTCGCTTATCTAAAACTATCGAAAAAAACTGGAATATTATACAGCAAACTAGGATACTCGTCCTCTGGTATATACTACTTCACGATAGTTACTACTGCAATAAAAAAATGCTCCATTTTCTACCGTCAAGTCCACAACTATACGACGAATACTACCTACTACTCCTACATATTTTCATCCATTCTGTTAGCCAATAAACTCTGCTATCGACTATACTTTTTTATTAAGAAATCAAACATATACTTCTTTCTCATTACGGCATAACGTACATACTGATAAAAAGATTGCCGTACCATCAACAAAAACATCCAACTATGTTTAGAAATCACACACTTTATACACATACAAACTCGATGGAAGAACTTTATTATCTTCGATGTTTCAGGAAAATACAAATTCCATACAGATGTGAAAAACATTCTAAGATGGCGTACCATCAATTTGACACTAACCGAAATAAAACTACCAATTCAACTAAACTACATAAATCCATGTTCACATCTACTTCGTCTTCTATCGACCACAAGTAATCCGGTTGTGCCCCAGAGCGCCGCAAGCCGTGCACCGCCTCACTCCATTGCGATCGCGATGTGGTCGTTCTTCCATCCGTCGCCGTATGGCAGCAATTAGTCTCCCATGCCTCTCGGTGATGGAGATCAACCCGTCGATCCTGTTAATTACTTCCATCATACGGTTGTACTGGCTGCAAAAATAAGGGAGCAAATGCTAATCAAAATCGACAACCAACTAGTAGTACATCTCAGAATAATAGAACACATACTCTAGAGAAATAGTGATGCGTTGATTCTCTTGGCCGGCTGGCTCCTCAGATCTATCACCACTGTCCATGCCTT